TTCAAACTTGAAACCTAGCAATATGTACACCTACAGCTATACCATTAGTTCCCCGGCAACGGCGCCAAAATTTTATTACGCCCAACTATGCCTTATAAAAAGGACTAAGCGGTCGTTGCAAATATAATTCGATTTACAAGTCCGGAGTCGAATCCCACAGAGAACTAAAGCTTACCTACAGTTGTTCAATATCGCTAAGAAACACAAGTCCAAACAATTTCCTAATTGTAAAGATTGTGATTCTTATTTTAAACTAATTAACTAGAAACTATTAAAAGCAGTAAAATTATTAACTAAGGAGACTAAGAGTTAGAGACAAGATTAAGGAGGTCTATAGTTATGATTTTTCCAATTACCGGAATCCTTCCCGCTAAGTCTTCTATAATTTCGCCTATGTATTCTTTGCCGATCGTGAGTACTTTGGGTGTTGTAGCTCTATCTTGAGCAACTATCACAAATTACTAGACATATTCTCTCGCACTACGCTAAATAGGCACAGTCAATTGATGGCCATTCAATCAACAGCAACAAACACGTAGTTGAACAAGTAGAGAAATCCAACGGCTTAATTATATAAAAATATAACAAGAATTCACCCTACAAAAAGTTTCATCAAAACCCTAGATAACAAATTAGCTATTCATAATAGTATACAAAACTACAATACTAGAATTCATAACCAATAATGGAAATAAAGGAAGAAAGAGGGAAAACCGTGAAGTTGAATCCTTCTCCTTCTTGCTCCTAGCGTGTTCTCGCCTACCTAAAGTGTTCTCTCCTTCTTGTTTGGGCCGAAATTGCTTATTTTAGTTCGGATTGGGAAAGTTGCATTTATCTGCCCCGGTCCCGGTCTGGCGAAGTTACTCTCACTTTGCTGTCCGGGACTTTCCTGTTTTCTTTTGCTTCGGTCCCGGTCTGGCGAAGTGAGCCTCGCTTCGCTGTCCGGGACTTTTCTCTTCAGCTCTTTACCGATCTTTCTCCCATTTGATCCTTTTCCGCGCAAGTTATTCCTACACATAAGAAACACGTAATGAGCATATTTTTACTTCAGAACCATGTGTTCTCCCGCAACTCACATGAGAAATAATATATAAACATACTTAGAAAACAATCATTTTCATCATTTATCAATCATAAATAAACCATATGATGCAACATATATTGTTTTAAGGTACATAAAATTAGAGAATTTCATGAGTGACTCATTCAAAACAATATTTAAAGATCAAGTATATAATAAGAATGAATTTGCAACTTCGAACAAAAGAAAATTTTGACTTCTTTGATAACAGTGTCTTCTAGGTTTACAGTGTTCTACTGCAAGTGCCATATTAGCATATTGGGTCAAACTTAAACGGATTAAAATAGATTGTATTAACGAACCGCAAACGTCTTATTGCTTAAATTCTAGGGAAAAATAATTTTATTATCTGCTTTGATCAAAATGGAATGGGTCAAGAATCAAGATGGGTTGCGGAGGTTAAAATAGTACGGGCTAGCAAGTTTTCGGATCGGTAATTGAAAAATAGTCAGCATTTGCAAAGTCATTAAAAAATAGCCACTATTTGCTGCAATCCAGAAAGTTCCGGCATAATATACTAGAGATTGGAGCATCTGTGTATGAACTTCCAGCATATTATGCTGAACTCCAGTACACAAAAAGTTCAGCATAATATACTGGAGAATGGAGCACCTGTGTATGACCTTCCATCATATTATGTTGGAACTCAAGCACATTTGAAACTCAAGCATGTTATGCTGGAAGTTCACGTGTAAAAAATTCGAACTCTAGCATATTATACTGGAATATTTTCCGAATTTTGAATAGTATTTTTGTTCAGATTTATCTTTACATGAAAAGTGGCTAAATTTCGATTACTTTTGAAACAGTGGCCATTTTTTAATTACTATTTGTAAATCTGAATTTTTGAATTTCACTGTTGTTGAGGAGGGGTCATAACCCAACTCTCTCCAAACAAAAAAGCATTTTCTTTTTTCTATTTTGTGTAATTTGAATTGCTAAAAAATAATGTGTTTATATACTTAAAATAAAATTATATCATGCGTTATAAATATTTATACATTCTTTTTTCCTTGTATTTTTTCGAAACTCTCTAATGAGTACTCAGTCCAAATTGACCCAACTTTGATCGCGTTGATTTAGGACCCGTTTAGCCATATGTTTTGCTAAAATATATTTGGGATTTTTTTTTTGCCAAATACATATTTGTTCATAAATTTTATCCATATTTTGTCAAATTACTAAAACCCAAATTCCAAACCAGCTCAAGAGCTGGTTTTGGCCCAAAATATTACATTACAGTTTTTAAAAATTGCCCCAAACTTTTGTATTTTATAAAGGCGAAATGGCTTCCTGGCCCCTTAAACTTGTAGGGCTTTCGAAAACCGATACATGAACTTTGGATTTTTTCATTTGAACACCTCTACTTGAGAAAATGTCTACTAATAAGCACCTTTGACCGTTGACTATGCTTATGTGGCAATATTATAGCTGATGCGGCCAATTGCGTGTTAATCACAGATATTAAGCGCGTGAATATGATAAATAATTAAAAAAAAGATAAATAATTAATTTTAAAAAATAAAAAAATTCGTCGGGCCAGATTTAGATAAAAGCTACCCCCTCCCTTTATCTTTTTCTTCCTTTCCCATCTTTTGCTTTTTATTCTTAGTTAAAGCCATAACCAAAATTTTGATAAATCAAACTCAAAACCTACATATTCAACCTACATATCTGACTATTCTTCAATTTTTAACCATCAATCACACTCAAAAACTTCATATTAGAGAAAAATCAACATCCATTATCATAAAATAAATTCATTGGATCAAGGAAGATGGAAGAGATCGGGACTGATTTTCGGAGTAAGAATGGGTAATAAGAAATTGAAAAGCAATAGTGTTCGCTGCTTTTTGATTTGTTAAAATTTTTTGCTGATTTGCTAGAAAAAATCGGGTCAGATTTCAATCATGGTAAAAGTTATTCGCCGCTTCTTGATTTCTCTCTCTCTGATTTTTGGGGGTGGTGATTTTTGTCTCTGAGTTTGTGATTTTTTCTCTATGATTTTTGGTGGTAAAAGGTTGGACTTGAAGGTTTTGCATATGGTTCTTATTTTGTAGGTGAGAAGATGATAAACAGTGGAAGTGAAAAGTATTAGGTGGGAGAGAGAAAAAACAATCACTGGAGATATTTGACCGGTAAATCTGGAGGTTTTCAGGTCATTTTTCAATTCGGGAATGTTTTTCTGGCGGGTTTTGAGGGAGTGGAAGGGTTATGTGCAGAAAAAATTAATTTGACAAAAGAAAAAGAAAAAAAAAGAAGTGGGACCTTGAACATACAGGTGGCCACAAATGTGAATGAATGGAAGATGTGGCTATATAAAATATTAAATTAAATCCATGTCAGCAGCGATTGAACAACACACACCATGACAAGTGTTTATTAGTAGATATTTTCTTAAGTAGAGGTGTTCAAATGGGAAAATCCAAAGTTTATGTATCGGCTTTCAAAAGCCCTACAAGTTTAAGTGGCCAGAAAATCATTACGCCTTTTATAAAAGAGTCCACCATTTATTATTTTGTAACAATGTTACTTCGTCTTCTCGGTCATCTGATATTTATTATAAAAATAATAATTTTGTGCCAAATTTGTTTATGTTCAGGACTATGGTTTGCGATAATATAATGAATATTATTGATCAAGTGTTGGATATGTGTGATAGTTTTTAGAACTTGTGGGTATAAGTCATGTTTCATATTTTTTTTCTAAAAAAAAAGTGAAATATATTTTGAAAATTGATGTACAAAAACATTTTCATCTTTAAACCAAAATTAAATTTTTCAAAATAAATTTGGTAATCTTGGATCAAACACTAGCTTAATTGTTTGCAGTGACTTGAATAGTAAATTAAGAAACCTAGAAAATAGGGGTGAGCATCGGCCGGTTCGGTTCGGTTATGAATATTATCGGTTTTGCCTATCGGTTATCAGTTTACAAATATCATAACCCGATAACCAAACTGATAAGATATTGGTTATCAGTTATTTGTTAATCGGTTATCGATCATTATCGGTTCGGTTATCGGTTTAACCGATAAGATAAAACAACTAAAGCAGGTTCGCAATGTATAAAATAGTTTCGGTATAAAACTGTTTTGCTAAAATAGTTTTATAATATTTTAAGAACTGTTTTGCTAAAACTCTTTTCAGAACTGTTCTATTTCACAAGAATTTAAATTTACTGCAATATCCAATAAAATAAACATTAACCAAAGTTTCTATCTTTCATTCTTCAACCCAAAAAATATAAACAAAAATCCCAATATCAGTCAGTGACGAAAAAATAAAATATCAGTCATATTTTTACTTCGACACTTTTTGCAAATACAAGGGATCTAAATGAATAACAAATACACGACAAATCTCACTTCAGCTTTCAAACAAACTAAGAAAAGTTCAGAGCCAGAATGCTTTTAAACAAACTAAGAGAAAGATGAAGATGAAGCAACTAAAAACTTACACGAAGAATCAAGATGAAGCTGAAGAATGCGGCTGAGAAATGCGACTGAAGAGTGAAGAAGATGCGACTGAAGAATCTGATGCATCTGAGAAATGAAGTGAAGATGCGACTGAAGAGTGAAAGAAAGAAGCTGAGAAATGCGACTGACGCCGGCCTGAGTCTTGACAGGCTGACTGGTGAGGGCGTGAGGCGGAGAAACTGAGAAAGAATAGGGAAATCAAAGAGTGAACTATGAAGTATGAATTATGAAACCCTAGTATGTATATACTTAAGGGTAAACTAGTAAATTAGTTAATCCTTATTGGGTTATCGGTTTTACCCAATAACAGAATTGCCAAACCGAGCCTGAACCGATAACCCAATAAAAAAAACATTTAAACCGTTGCCGAACCGTTAATCCAATAACCCAATAAATAATTAATGGTTCCGATTATAGGTTTTACCTTTCATGTATGCCCACCCCTACTAGAAAACCCTGAACCACCAAAGTGCAAAAATCCTATATATTTTGGGGGTGCAGAAGCTTGGTGAACAAAGGTAGAAATTGCGATGGCGGCTCGGCAAATTCAGAGGCGAATTCTGAGTCTTCTCGCTACTAAGCAGCCTCAAACCTACATCTCTAAAGGTATGCGTCCCCTCTAGATTTTACACAGAGCCCCAATTCATGGACTATGGCATAGTTTGGGAACCTGTAAGAATTTGCATATAACTTCTCATTTTTACTCCAATATTCTTCGCAATTAATATACGCCCAGAAATATATATATATATATATATATATATATATATATATATATATATATATATATAAATAGCCTAAGCTAGGGAGGTATAGAGGCAAAGGGCAATCAATATGAGGTATCATTTGAATTCATGCTTTGATATCTTAATTATTCTATGATTGAGGTTTTGGATGTCTGAAACTGAAAGCCAATGTTATTTATTAAAAGCCCTTTAGAAGAACCGACGGTTCATGGGTCTTGAAGCAAAAGGGGAGAAGTGAAGTGCACAATTTAGGGAAATTTAGCAAACATATATAATCAAATGGTAATTGAAATCATTAATCTCAGCATTCTGTATAAAATAATGCTGATATTAATCCAACTCATCAAAGCTGATATTTAAAGAACCTGGTGCTCCTCATTTGGATTATCTCGTGCATCATTGTTTGAAGTGCACATGTCTCTGTAGCTTCATGACTCATGAAGCAGCGATACCCCCTCACTTCACATTGCTTCATTGCTTTAAGCGACAAAGTGATAGTTTCTAATAACATTGGTGAAAGCATTGGGGATTTGGATTTGAAGAGAAGCATAGAACTTAGTTTTATGGATGATTTCTGAATTGCAAATAATTTGAGATAGTGTTGATTTAGCAATCCGGAAGAGTCAGGGTACTTGAGATTGCCTAGGGGTTAAGCTCGAAGGCGTTGATATTCTTCAGCCGACCTTCCACATACGATTTCACCACCAACTTCCACGAGTGAGATTCTTGACTAATGCAGCTGATTATGTGTATCCATTCTTCAGTCTTCTTCTCATACGCAAGATAAAATGAATTCGTGTGGCATGCGCACTGTAAAATCAAACCTGAGCATCATGAGAAGATATCCTGAGATATTGAAGAGTTTTGACTATCTTGTTATAAATCCAGCATCCAAATTAAAGTTCCTTATTGCTTTTCCTCTGCGCTTGCTTAGAGAACTTGAAATATCTGTTGAGATTAGGTTCTAGTCAAAATAAGGAACATTTGCTTTAAGAAAGTATAACACACAGGAAGTACTTGGGTAGACAACTCAATGTTAAACTTGGGGAGTTTCTCTATCCATAATTGGTATGTTAATCTGTCAAGAAACTTTCAGAGTGACCTATGAGTAAGCGGTGATTTTTTGACTAGCTGTTGTTTGAAATGTCATGTGCATTCAATTCATGATTTTGGGGGTTATTTCTGAGGGAAGTAGCCTCGTATAATCTGGAGAATTCCATGTGGCCATTTTCGGCTATGTGAGATTATCTAATAGTTGTCATATGTGAAGGAGAGGAGTTTCGTTATTCTTTTTCTTCTTAGAATGGTAATTGCTGCAATTGCCCTTGGTCAGCTTTTGTGTTCACGGATCTGAAAAAATGCAGTATTGACAATCATAAAGTTTCACACGCCATTAAGTTGTATAGCTTATAAAAAAAAAGCATCACTAAGTTGTATATGATTGTGAATCAGTGAAATGAAATACCACCCTGCTATCTGGTGAAAGGACATGTTTCTTTTGGCCCGGGGCTATTTAGGAAGCGGGGTAACTGTTCTGGCTATGAGCATTGAGGAGAGTGACGAAAGCTACTTTTTCTCTAAAAGAGTTTGCCTTTCCTACTTTTTTTTAATAGTTGTGAATACTGCCGTTTGTTCTACTGATTGATATAGTAACTAGGGTAACATGGCCTTTTCTTTTCAAGTTACAAAGAATCACCCAAGTATTGGTATTTTCTTATATAAACTTCTGTCTCTCTCTCACTCTCTCTCTCTGGTATTATTGAGAACATCAGGCTATTACTCTTTTGGGGGAAGGCCCCCCTAAACTTGCATAAGCAGCTTACTACCATGCTTTGGGACAAACTTCTCTTATATCGAGAGTTTTTTGTTATTGAGGTTCTACCGTGTTTCTAAATTATTCCAGGATCAGGATGGCATTCTGTTTCTCCTGCGAGGTCATTTTTTGGCACGGACAAAATATGTTCAAGAAGGTGCTTTCAAACAGTTGCAGAAACCGCCAAGCAGGCTGTTGGAGTAGGGGAAGTTAGTAAAAATTGTGATTCTGCTGCTACAGCTGTCTCTAGTATCAAGAATGAGACCACATACAACAAGTACACCGTGCAATCTAATCTGAAAATCTCCCCCAGGCATGATATGGTGATGGTCTTCACATGCAAAGTATGCGAGACCAGATCAATGAAAACAACTTGCCGTGAGTCATACGAGAAAGGTGTAGTGGTGGCTAGATGTGATGGTTGTAACAACTTACACCTGATGGCTGATCGACTCGGGTGGTTTGGAGAACCTAGTAGCGTGGAAGACTTCCTGGCTGCTCGTGGAGAGGAAGTGAAAAAGGGTTGTGCTGAAACTTTAAGTTTCACGCCCGAAGATCTAGCGGGGAAGAAGAACCTGGAAGAAATTGGGGAGAAGTAGAATCCAAATTTTAGATTTAGGATTTGTAGTGTAAAGTTGGCTAGAATTGAAGTTGATTCTGTAATAAAGTCGAGCAACCCATCTTTAAGCTTAAATTTCGTCTATACTTTGATTTATAAGGAATAGAATGGAGAATTCATTGACTTTCAGTTTCAGTTATATGGTCAGGTGATTGCTCTATATGTAGGAAGATACTTGTTACGTTTTTCGTGTTGAGCGGCGAGGAGAGGGAAGCACATGGTTTTAAATTTACATACCCAATTATTCATGCTCTTGCTTAACATGTCTCTAAGCAATTACTCCTTCCGTTCCATTTCGTGTCATTCTTTCATGTTTTTTTTTTCCTGTCAAATGACATATTTTTAAAGTTACACAAATGTATGGCATGTTTTAGATCGCTAGTTTTAAAAAGGAATTTTTACCTCCTATAGCAAAGGTTAACACCATATTTATTTTAAATAAATACTATTAAAAAAAATTATATTCTATAGATACCTTTTAATGTTTATAGCAAAATATCTAATTTTGGTTACCTCCTACCCCTAAGCCACTAAATACGTTATTCAGTTACAATATTTTCTTTCTCTCTATACTTTGATACATGTCATTCTCTTCCTCAATCTAATTCATTCTCTCGGCCGCACCACCTTCTTTCCCCCAGAAAAATGTCGTGTGCATCATCATATGTCGATGGTTCTTCATCATCATGCCTCCTCCTCCTGTGGCGTTATTCATGGCAACTGATGGCGGCGCCATCATAGCCATTCCATGCATATGGCCGCCGTTGTTCATTTCTTTTTTGCCCTATTCTTGGATTTTATGGAAGCTCAAAACTTCTCTTTATTGCACCCATAAAAATCCATCTAAACCACAAGAAAAAAAGGGAAAAAAGTTTTTTTTAATCAATTTCCTCCCTTTCCTGAATCTACTGACATATTAGACGTAATATCAAGAATTCAATAATGGAGTGGCGTCCGTTTGATGTCACTGTGATCTCCGCCGCAGGCATAAAAATGTCAATTAATTCTCCAAAATGGATGTTTACGTCGAAGTTTCAATCGTGGGTTATGCCAAGAACACAAAGATTCACGAAAGAGTTGAGGGTTTTTGCTCGACGGCGGATTCGCCGGAAATTAGGGTTTGTCCTTGAACAAAGACCACGGAGTTTGGGGCTGAGCAACTTGATTTTCTGTTAATATATTTTAATGTTTTTTTCAACGTATCACGCTGTATTTTCATGTATTTCATTGTATTCATTGTCTTTTTTTTCCATTGTAATTCAATGTATCTCGTTGTATTCCATGTATTTCATTGTATTCACTGTCTCGCTATATGCCATGAATGTACTCATTATATTTTTTTTAATT